ATCCTGGCTGCCTGTGTTCTGTCGAGAATGCTGACCCAGTCAAATTTGCCGACCTCACCATCTGCGCTTGTGCACACACCGAGATGAACGAGGAAACGGCCATTTATTTACAAAGTATTTATTGTTATTTGTGACCGTTTATAATATCCTATCCATGGCTGTAAATGATGGATGTCATTTTATGCACATTCAAAGTTAATATCGTAAGTAGAGGTGCACGGAAATGGAAATTTTAAAACCGAAATAAAAAAATGTCAGGCCGAAACTGATACCGAAAATGTTTTATTTTTTTACATTTTATTTTTTATAAACTTTTTAATTTTTTATGGCACTTTCGGCATTATGCCAAAAGTGCAATTTTCGGCCGATATGTTTCGGTGGCCGATATATCGCTGCATCCCTAATCATAAGCAATTACATGTTAATGTAATTGTTTACGATGTTAATTGTGAATGTGCATAAAATGCCATCCATCATTTACTGGCTCGGATGGCATATTATGAACGTGTAATGAATATGTCACAAATAACAATAAATACTTTTTAAATAAATCCCCGTTTCCTAGTTAATGCTGTCTGCGGAAGCGCAGATGGTTAGGTTGGCAAATTCGACTGGGTCGGCATTCTCGACAGAACACCGGCGCTTGACCGAGTGGTAGGTGACATCACTTCTGGGCGCCCGAGGTTCAAGCTCTAAGCCTTGTTTTGGCGCGGGGGAAGAGGAGGAGTAATGAGCTGCACTGCAGATTTAAATGGGGATCCTCAGGAGAGCCTGTGGAGGAACAAGGACATGGAGACTTCCCAGCCAGCTACTCCAGTGGATGCAGCCACATCAAGTGCCGCTTCTGGTCAGGTAAGGCAGCGCTTATTATTGTGTCTCTCTCCTAACTTTTCTTATCTGCATGTTTCACTAAGGACTGGTAAGGATCCTTGCTGTGAATTGCACGGGTGGACTCTGGTACCAGATTTAGATGCTAAAATGACTATTTTTGTTTTTTATTTGTAGGCAAAAGCATCGGACAAGTTTAAGAATATGCCTAGAATGAAATTTGCAGTATGTGGGGCAAAACTTAATGCTTCCTTTACTGAACCATTATGTCAAACCTGTATTGATGGATTATTTCAGGAAGAATCTGCAGCAGCTTGTAGTAATCTGTTAGCCTCTGTTAAAGGAGAACTATGAGATGAGTGATTTCCACTCACCTCATAGTTCTAGCCGATCTGTGACAATGAGACTGTCACAGGTCGGCTCAGTAGATCGGGAGGTGAGCGAACACATACCGGGTTCGCTCACCTCTCGATCCTGTCACGGCTCTCTGCCGTGACAGGGGGAGGGGCTGGATTCCCCTCTCCCCGCTCCGTTCCGCCAGTCAGCACTGGCGGAATTGGCCAGGTCAGAGCCAGAGCATTATCGGGTTAATTGGGGGATCTGGTGGACTGGGGGGTAATTATCAAGGTACCAAAAGAGGAAGAGGGCAAAGTGTTTTATTCCTATGAATTTCTTGTCTAAATACCCTCGGGGAAGTTTCTGATTCTTAAGCCTTTAAGTGTTTCCATTCGTTACAAAAAATTCAAAATGGACCCAATTTTTTCATCGAGGAACAGTCTCCAAGCAGGGGCTTACCTGGCAACGATAGACCTAAGGGGTGCCTACTTTCATGTACCCATAAGGTCCACCTCACAGAAGTTCCTTCGTCTGGCTGTCAGAATCGGCACAGTTATAAGTCAAATTCAATCCAACTTCCAATTCAAAGCGCTCCCATTTGGCCTTTCATTGGCAACAAGAATATTCACCAAGGTGTTGCCAGAGGCCCTGGCCCCTCTGAGGCTTCAGGGGGTCAGTATCATTCCATATCTGGACGATATCTTAGTCATGGTTCAGACATCAGAAAAATTGGGGAGAATCAGAGAAAATTAAAAAATTGTCCGCAGCAGTTTCCAGCTTGCAGGGAATTCAGGTAGTTTTCTTAAGATTGATCATGTCGGTTGTAGGGTTAATTACCTCAACATTTCCAGCAGTGCAGTGGGCAAGATTTCGCTACAGAATTGTCTTCTGCAAGTATGAAATTGTTCTTTGGAGATGAAAGTAATGCTTCCATCAAGAATAAAAAGGTATCTTTGGAGGTGGAAAATGCAGGGCCAACTTTCACAGGGCCTACTCTGGTCTTTCCCCTTGTCAAGAAAGTTGACAACAGATGCCAGCTCCTGGGGCTAGGAAACACATGTCCAGGATCTCTGCATTCAGGGACAATGGGCAAAACAGGAAGCAAGAGCTTCGTCTAAATGTAGGGAATTGAAAGCAATTCTGTTCTTCTCTACTTTCAGAAGGTCCTAAAAGGACATCGCCTTTTTATTCTTTCAGACAATGAAGTGGCTGCAGCCTACATCAACAGGCAGGGGGAACCAGAAGTGCATACCTTCAGAAATTGGAAATAAAAAATATTATTTTGGGATGAAAGGAATTTGGCATCCATTTCTGCAATTCACCTAAAAGGGCTAAGAATAATCTGGCAGATTACCTCAGCAGACACAAAATATTACAGGACGAATGGAGTCTGTGTCCAGCTGTTTAGGATCTGATAAAGAAATGGAGAATTCCGGAGGTGGATCCATTTGCTTCGTGGCATTGTAATCTTTGTTATGTGTTCCGACCGGTTCACCTGATACCGCAGGTTCTTCAAAAGTTCCAGCAGGAGCAGATGGATCTGATCCTTATAGCACCATTTTGGCCAAAAAGGACTAGGTTTACTGTCCTGCAGTCTCTATCTGTTTTTCCACCTTGGAAATGACCCAACAGGGAAGATCTCATGTCCTAGGGTCCGGTTCTCCACCCAGGAGCTCGGACCTTGAAATTACCCGAATGGTTTGTGAGGAAGACACCCTAAAGGCTTAAGGGGCATCAAACAGGATGATTCAGACATTACTTAATAGTCATAAACCAGTAACGAGAGCTATCTACAGTAAAGTGTGGAAAATATTTTTTATCAGGGTCTAGTACTGCTAAAAATAATTTTTCCATTCCCTCTTATTAGACTTTTTACAAGGTGGAGCGGACAAAGGTATGGCTGTAAGTACGCTTAGAGTCCAGGTTGCGGCAATAAGTGTCTATCTACGGGCATCACTTGCAGTGGAGCTACTTATTTCCTGATTCTTCATCGCAATGAAGAGACTAAGACCGGTGACGGTTATATCTTTTCCTCAATGGGATTTGTCTTTGGTCCTACAGGGATTGCACAATCCACCTTTTGAACCTATTACAGAAGTTTCAGTAAGATATATTACTCTCCAGGCAGCTTTTTTTGATAGCAGTGATTTCTGCAAGAAGAATTAGTGAACTACAATCACTATCTATTCAGCAGCCTTTCCTCTCCATATTTCAGGAGAGAATTGTTCTCAAAATAGATCCAGGACTTTTATCAAAGATTTCACCTTGCTTCTATAGGACCCAGGACATTGTCCTTCCAACCTTTCGTAGCAAACCCTCTAATGACAAAGAAAAGGCCTTCCACTGTTTAGATGTTAGGCGCTGTTTGTTAGCTTATTTAGAAGCAACTAAATCTTTTAGGAACTTCAATGCATTGTTTGTGTTGTTCTCCGGTAATACTAAAGCTTCAAACTCTTCCAATGCACGATGGATTAAAGTGACAAAGTCAGAATTTGTTTTTTCCCCCTTCCCAATCCTGATGTAGGAACTTACCTTAAATCATGGCTCTTTATTCGATCATCTTCTTCTTTCCTGTACTTTTCCGCTGTCCCTCCAGCGCTGGTGCGGGTCTCCGATCCAGCACTGACTCCTCTGTCCTCCTCTCCTCTGATGTCCCACAGAGTCTGTGCGGATGCATGCTGCTCCATAGACTTACCTTGTGTCTCTCCTCGTCTCTCGGCTGAACATGCGCCCGCCCCAAGATCCTTTTCGGCAACCCCAGACTCTTCAGATGTTCGGATGGGAGTGAAGACACAGGTAAGTTTAAAACGTTTTTTAAAAAAATTTTTTTTGCATATATCTACAGCTTGCTAGCAGTAGATATATATTTATTAACCCTTTAAAGGAGAACTAAAGGTGAGTGCTTTTCACTCACCTCATAGTTCTAACCGACCTGTGACAATGAGACTGTCACAGGTCGGCTCAGTAGATCGGGAGGTGAGCGAACATATACCGGCGTTCGCTCACCTCTCGATCCTGTCACGGCTCTCTGCTGTGACAGGGGAGGGGCTGGATTCCCCCCTCCCCGCTCTGACCTGCCAGCGCTGACTGGCGGAACGGACGGGGGAGGGGGTGGGTACAGCTGGCTCTGCCTCTAGATAGGCAGAGCCAGCTGTCACTCACGCAGCTGGGCAGATCCCGACATCGATGTCGGATCAGCTCCGGCTGCGGCGTCTCAGTATACCGCGAGCTGTAGCTCGCGGTATACTGAGCTTAGGGTAACGGGAGGACGCTAGTTTGTGTCCTCCCGGTACCCTAAGGAGAACTATGGGGAAAAGGCCTGACCCCATAGTACTCCTTTAAGTTAGCTATATCTGAAACATACCTTATTGCTAAAATGACGCCACCAGCTTTCCTGAAAGCACATTCTACAAGATCCACAGCAAGCTCATGAGCTGAAAGAGCGGAAGCTACGCCTGAATAGATATGTAAGGCTGCTACCTGGTCTAGCTTTGGAATGTTTGTAAAGCATTACCGCTTGGATCTTTTATCCAGTAAAGATCAAGCGTTCGGAAGGAAAGTGTTACAAGCGGTGGTCCCTCCTTAATATGGTAAGTTCTTGCTTATCCTCTCTGAGGCTGTCCTGGAAGACAACTGAGGGAACAACCAGAATTAGAACTTACCGGTAACTCTTTTTGCAACAGTCTTCCAGGACAGCCGACCTCCCACCCTGAATATTTTATATGATGTTTTCTACTGTTGGGGTGGTGTTTTTGTCTTGTTTCCAGCAGACCTCCGGTTCTTGCAATTACTGAGGGGATATTATGTGGGAGGCAGGCTTTTATTTAAGATTTGGGATGAACTGTCTCCTGTCTGGTGGAGGAGCTACACTCTCTGAGGCTGTCCTGGAAGACTACTGGAAAAAGAGTTATCGGTAAGTTCTAACTCTGGTTTTCATGAAAGCATCCCCTTAAGTAAGGGTTAGAACTTCAATCATTGTTTTTAGTGCTGTCTGTACCTTGCTGTCCTGATGTCTGAAACCCTCCATTCCTTGTATGGGTATCACAGGGATATGATGTGTGAGAACACCTCCCCAACGGGGTCACAAGCAAAATCAAGAACTTTAAATATTTCTTTTTCCAACACTTTTAACGTAGAAACAAAGCCCAAACTTTTTTTTTTTTAATTTGTTTTAGATAGTTAGAGTAAGAGATGGTTATAACCCCAGCATTTTTTGTGCCATCTGTGTCCCATCAGAGAGATTTCCCTTCACTTCCTATCCAATAGCCACAACAGAAAGTAAGAGGAAATTGCTCTGAAGGATGCTGCTAAAGATCATAGGAACATTCTTTGCTCCTCATCGCCATCTAGTGGCGGCAGTACTGTGCGAACGACATACGCTTTGAAGCCTGTGGGTAACCCACTAACATTCACCTATAACTTATATATCAGTTTTGGGCAGTGGTTCTGCCTTAAAGTCTGTTGTGTTGCTTCTTTATGCCACTGGCCAAAACTGAAAGCATCTATCTCTAAGACTCACCATAAACGTGAAAATAGTCATATTTAACATTTTATTACAGTTTCATTACAGTAAGAATGTGGATTTATGCACCTGGCCTATACAGTTGCAATTTATTTGGGTGGTCACAATGCATTTAGCAAAGAATTCGTAAAAGAAGACAGTGAGACATTGTCAAAATCTCACAAATCAGAAGCTGATCTGGGGTGCTTAAGATTTTTTGGAGGCTTAAAGGATAAGAGGCTTAACTGGATGCATTGCTTCCAAGAGAATCAAGTATGCCAGGACGTGTGTTTTCTGAATCAATAAGAATTGTGTCTTAACTTTTACTGCAAGCTAACATCTCTGGGGCTTTCTCTCTCATGAGATGTAAATGCAGCCATTGTACACGTATAGAGAGTACTTGTGTTTCACTGGTTTCTCCTTTGTAACATCTCAGTGTAATGTTACATTTTCATTTATTCTTCATTAAAATAGAAACAATCTATTATTACAGAAAATAAACAACTATTCTATTCTGGTATGCCTAATTGCTGTGGAGTGGAGATACAATGGTGTATTGCTTTATTGCCTTTGTAGGGTGTTGATAGGGAGACAGATACCTGCCCAAACACACACACACACACACACCC